TTTGTTCTCTCTGGTACATTTTTTTTATGTCTTTCTTATGAAAAACTATGGCAATACATTTATTTAGAGAGAAATATGCTGCCTTTTTGTGGGGGTTTTATTCATCCGTTTGTCTCTTGACATTTTAACTGACCCTTCTGTCATTTCAGGGTTTGATTAGTATCCGTTTTCTCACTTCAGAGCTGTCGCCCCCCTCACAGAGCATGTTGGGTAACATCCTTTGCGTGTACTCTGTTATTGCTGATGCTGCGCTTCGATCTAGAGGATATTTGGAGTGAAAGATGAGTTCGGTTGAGGATGATGGACACGCTGAACTCTGCAGAAATAACATTCTTGTTAAAATGAGGTTTTGCAGAGGTTATGTAACAGGACTTTTTGAAGGACTTTGTCAGGACAGATGTGATTTTCACGCTAGATTTCAGATGACATACTCGCACTTAACTAAATGTTCCCTTGCCCGAACACCTCAGGGAGGGGGCTTTATATGCCGCTGCTATATTTAGTAAAAGATCACATTAATTAGGTTCCTGAGGAAGTGTTAAATGTTTTGCCTTCTCAGTGGACTAGGGACTCTCTAGTTTGTGTTACTGTTACTTTGCCCATCCAGATTCATCCACATAAATAATTTAAAAGAATGATTTGGCATAACTAAAATATATATATATTATAAAATACTGTATATATTATTTTAAAAGGTACATGGACAATTTAATTAATTTACATGACCTTTTTTTATAACTTTAACCCTGGTTCATCAAAAAAAAAAGCGAGGGAGTGAATTAAAATATGAAATTGCTTGATTTTTAGTTGGTTAACTTATTTTAATGCTTGTTTAATGCTTAATGTCTTATTTCAAATAATTCATGTAATCTTGAGGCCCCCTTAAAAGTCCCCGGCCCCCTGGTTGAAAACTGCTGGTTAGACACCTTTAAAGATTAAATTGTTTTTATTTGTTTTGTCAAATGATTTTCTGTAGTAATTGGCAATGTGCCCAAGATGCTGTTAATGGAGCCTACATTCAGGGTGAATGTACTGCAAACCTGCAAATATTAGTGGATGTTCTTAAAATATAAATTCCCAGGCCTTGAAAATTCATACAAAAAGTAATATAGTGTTAAAGGTCATGGAAATTAATTTTGTTTATACTGTACATGGAGCCTCTGGAAGCTCAATCCTCACTGAGCTGCAATTGAAGTCTCTTTTGCATCTTTAAATAAATATATTTCTTTAAAATCTATTAATTCCAATAATCGGTACCCAAAATGCAATTGGAACAACTTCTATTAAATTACTGTAAAAACACTTGCTATCATGAATGACTGAAAAAATTATAATAGAAATACATTGCTTTAAAACATGTGGCAACCCTGTATGTTGCATTTTACCCAGAGAATTAGTTTAACCTAGGTTTTCTACAGCTTTTAAATAGTTGTTATAATTCTGCATAACATTCGTGCAAATTAAGTCAAATAAATTCATCTGCAATGTATAGCCTTCCATATGCAATCAAGACTAGTTCAGTGAGATGTAAATGAGAATTCTCAGCTCTGAACACTATTGAGTTCTTTCCAGTGGCGAGAATAAAGGCCTTTGAGAGGCTGTTCCATCTGCTGGTTTTGAGAGATCTCTGATCCTCAGTGTTCACTGGCCTTTTACTCTCCCAAGAGAGAAGCCGGGATTTGCACATAGCTGGTATGAACAGGCGCAGGTGAAGCTCTCATCCTCACCCGAATGCAGAGGCAGTGAATCTGTACGGGATGCAATTAAAATTCCTGAAATAAATCTCCTTTGCTGCTGCGTTGACAGTCAGTAGACGATGCTGGTTGATGAGGTTTAAATAATACTGATGCACAGAGGTTAAAATAGACAACTATTTTTGAAATTCAGATGCTAGTGGCACACAATTTACACATTTGTAATGCAAATATTGGTGTTATTGAACGGTTATTTTCGAATCTCTCGTGCCTGGAGAGTCTCAATATGCACAGATAATTATGGAAGATATTGTGTTCCATCAGATGGAGTTGTCAACTGCTTTCCCAACAGCTTCACGCGTTTCTTAATGGGATATGAGATCTCTGGAGAAGTCACTTTATCTCACCCGTCCATATGTTATATGCTGCCACTGTGCCGCTGAGCGCTAGCTGTCGTCTCAAACAGACAGGCTTTAGATTGGACCGGCTCCCTCCACTCCCACACATTTCACCTCCATCTTTCCACAGCCGCCTTGAGTGGAGCGCCACCAGTCTCACTCGTTTGCCTTCCAGCACTTATCCAAACACCCATTAAAGCATGTCTGTTTACACAGTTGTATGCTTGTTTGCAGAGCAGTAAATAGAAAAACTGTTTGTGTCGTTGTCAATGTTGAGCTCGATCTCTCCCAAATTCTTTTGTTCACACCTCGGGCTGGGAGATTTGACCAATTATCACAATATATTCATGATGATCACTCTCTGGTGATATAACATTATGCAACACTGTGAATGGCTCATGGGCCATTAAAGGGATAATTCACCCAAAAATGATATTTCTGTCATCATTTAATCAACCTCATGTCATTCATGTTCATTTGACTTTTTCCATGGCAAATCAAAGATGTTTAGCAGCAGTTTGTCCAAGCTGTTTTTTCCATAACATTTAAGTGTATAGAGAGCCAACTGAATCTTAATAGCATTTCTGATTTAAGATTTAATAGCAAAAATAACATTCAAATGAGTTGGTAAGTTTGATTCATTTCTAAATCTGTTCTATCTGTCTGATTTGATTCATCATTTAAAAAAAAAAAAAAAAACATTTATTTAATCAATTTTCATATATTAACATGCTATTGTAAAAATGCACTAGTGTTCAGGAGTTTGGAGTTGTTTTTTTTTATTTTTAAGAAGACTCTTATGCTTACCAAAACTGTATTTATTTGAAAATACAGTAAAACCAGTAATATTGTGAAATAATATTATTAATAATGTAAACTGTTTTCTATTTTAATACATTTCAAAATATAATTTATTTCTGTGATGGCAAAGCTGAATTATCAACAGCCATTACGCCAGTCTTCAGTGTCACATGATCCTTCAGAAATCATTCTAATATGCTGATTTGGTGCTCAAACATTTCTTATCAAAGTTGAAAATTATTTCATATTATTGTGGAAACCATGATACACCTTTTCAGGATATAGAGTAGAATTGAAATTTCAGCATTTATCTTAAATAGAAGTCTTTTTTAATAACTGTCTTTACTGACACTTTTGCTCAAACTGTTGCATCAAATTTTGAATCATAGTGTAAGTAAAAAAAAAAAGGCTGTTGGTGCATATAAAGTAAAAATAAATATATATATTTTATTTTTTACAGTAAACATTTTAGATCTACTATAACAACTCTATACAAGCTCTATACGACTGAAATGGTTACTCTGATTTTAAAAAAAAATTATAATACGTAGATTTATTTCAAATATCATCAAAGCAATGAAAATAATTACTATTTCTTTTATCCATTTCACCAAGCTCTATTCGCACCAACTTCCGTATTTTTTCTAGGTCTCTGTTTTGGTCAGTTCACTCTTTGAATCTATCAGTTCTCTGTCTGTTCTGTCTCCTGATCTCACGTTGTTCAAAGAGCTAATGTTTTTTCTTTCTCCCTTGTGCATTTTCGTCATAGCATTGCTTTAGGCTGATAGCTTATGTGGAAAATAGTCATGGGCAAGATGACTGTATTCAATAAACTGAGCGGGGATGCAGCAGTCACACCCGTCCTCTTGAGACACATTGCGTCACTTTCTTCTGCGTCTGTGTGGTGTTCATTTAGTCATGTGGCCTGGGAAAAACTGAAGTGCGGCCACTATTGGCCCAGTCGGCTGATCCAGAGTGACAGCAGGGCGGGCTGACCTCTGACCTTGAGTCTTGACATGTTCTTTCTGTGTCTCGTTCTGGTCAACCGTACAGCAAAACTGTCAGCCAGAACTGATTGATGAAGCTTAGCGAAGGCCTAAATGATCAGTTAATAGACCACCAGGCTTTTTGCCAGCAATGTTCTCTGACAAGTGCTTGTACTCGTTGGTATGTGATGTGACCGTTCCCAAAATGTACTCAGTGTCGCTCTGAAGGTGACCCAGAATGCATCTAATCACTCAGTTCTTGCTTTCAAAAAGCAGATGTTTCCCCTTACAGGGTTTGTTTGTTTCCCCCACAACTGAGATTGAATCCTGTAAAAGAGGTAGATTGCTTGAGACCATGAGCAACACAATAAACTAGTACAACACTGCCCTCTATAGGCAGCAGTGTGCAGAACACCATACAGTTCAATTACAGCTCTTCAAAGGTGAAGTCAAAGTTTACATTAATGTACTTTCTTGGTCTTATTGTGCATGACTTGGCATGTTATTTGGGGGGGGAGACAGTCTTTGTAATCTTTTAATCACAATGTAAAAAATTGCTCCGCCTCTGAAACGACTTTCCTTTCAGATGACATCACCAATCACCAGAAGTGTAGTGTTTTTATATGTACACAAATGCTACTTCTGCAGCATTTGTGTATTATCCAATCAGAAATGTTGAAGGCAGCTTTCTGCCAACGAGATACATTTGAGACAGCACTAGCTGTTTGTCCTAACACAACAAGGACAGTTGTGTATTTTTATAAATCCATTTGATGCTGCTAGTGATGCAGAATTTGCTCACAGCAGCGTTTAATGAGTCCAGTGTGACTCATTTTCTTATGAGCAGCATCATTGTCCAGAGTCTATTTTTGTGAGGTGAACTGGTGATTAAATAAAGAAGAGAAGAGAGTCTGTGCCTCTCTGAGGACCCTTGTCTATTTCTGCAAGATGTGAGATGTGGAATATAGTTGCATATTTTGGGAGTTCCATTAAAAGCATTTCTCAGTCGTGAAGTTTTAGTCTGACGAGAATCATTGCTGACATGAAGAGAGCCAGTTTTTGTGGTGGTCCTTTTCTGTGGCAACCCATTCTGAGGTGTTTTTTCTGTCCCCTGTGCACAGATGTGAAGGGTCCACCCAGCCACCGCTTCTCCTGTGGCCAGTCGCCGTTCACGGAGCCCTGCATTTGGGAGAGGAAGTACTGCATCCTGACCGATAGCCAGCTCATCCTGCTCAACAAGGAGGAAGAGGTAAGTGCGCTCCTTCCCTATGCTTTATCCCCTCATTCTTCTCTCTTCCTCTCTCTCAGAATGAGGTGCGAAGGACAGTTAAATGAAGACACGCAGATGATGTTTGTGCTTTGTTGTACATTTCCCCTTGTGAGGGTTAAATATGTCGTTTGCTGATGTAATGAGCACTATTTGGATGGGATTAGTTTTCCAGACATTTGAGTTACAATTATGAAGTCTGTTATAAAATCCAGAAGCAAATTTACCTGACCTCCTTAAAGGGGTCATATGACGTTGCTAAAAAAGAACATTATTTGGTGTATTTGGTGTAATGAAATGTATTTATGCGGTTTAAGGTTCAAAAAACACATTATTTTCCACATACTGTACATTATTGTTGCTCCTTTGTGCCCCGCTTTTCTGAAACGCGTCGATTTTTACAAAGCTCATCGGTCTGAAAAGTGAGGTGTGCTCTGATTGGCCAGCTATCCAGTGCGTTGTGATTGGCCGAACAACTCAAAAATGAAAATTCTGTCGTCATTTACTCACCCTCAATTTGTTCCAAACTTGTATGAGTTTCTTTCTTCTGTGGAACATAGAAAATATTTTGAAGAATGTTTGTAAAATCAGTTGATGGTCCCCATTGACTTCCATAGTACGGAGCGGGGGGACTACGGAAGTCAAAGGGAACCAGAAACTGTTTGGTTACATTTTGTGTTTAGCAGAAGAAATAAATTCATGCAGGTTTGGAACAACCTGTGTGAGTAAATAATGACAGAATTCTCATTTTTGGTTGAAATGTTCCTTTTTAGGAAAACTATTCCCATCCGAATAGGTCTTGATAGTTAAAGAGCCTCATTTTGCACATTTCAATGATTTGTTCTCTTTTTTTAATGAGTTCATTACTCTCGTTGTGCAGGCCAACCAATTTCATCTTGAGGTTATGAAAGGGAATAATCAATTCTATTAATGTATTGAATTAGTTTCTGATTGACAGATTGCTTTCAGATACATTTAAATGGTTAGTTAATTTATAGCAATGTGTACCCCTGTGACCTCCACCCACTGACCTCTGACCTCTGACTTGTTCCCAGATGCCATCTGAAGTCCATGAAAGCCCCACAGCATCCTCATCAAAGGGTCGCAGCCTGAGAAGGACAGTCAGTGTGCCCTCTGAAGGACCGTTCCCAGAGTATCCACCAGAGGGAACCTCAATGTTAGGTAAGATTTATGTGGTGCTTCTGTTATGATAGCAAAACTATTATTTATGCTCTCTGTCAGGCAAAATAACCACAGGAATATTCGAGAGGAAACTTGAATATAATAGAGAATTTTGATAGGGTTATCAGATAATATTAGTGATGTTTATTTCTTCTTTTGTTTGTCGTTCTCATTTCTATCTATTTCTACATTTTAGATTACATAACAATCAAAGTTTATTTTTCATTTAACACTAATAACATTTAATAACATTAATAATTTGTTAAATAGTTAAAAGTAATTTATAGAAAATAAAGATTCTTTCATGTTTTTTAATTAATATTGTTATGCCAAAATGTACTGAAGCATTTAAAATAAAGGTTTCATTTTGATAGTTTTGATGCAAAAATAATGTAAATTTTTAATATCAGCCATGTATCAGGCATAAAATCAAAGTATTTGTCGGCTTAAGCTGTTAGCCATATTTTTATATTTATTTCTAGTTGTGCTCAACCTCAGACTAATTTTTTATCCACTAGAAACTTCTCTTTTGCAGTCTCTTTAAAATGATTTTGATCCTCTTTTTCCAGTAAACACAAACAGTTGGAAATGTCATTGTTCAAAAGTTGTGGAAATGCTGATTCAGACAGTAGTAGGACCTTTTAGCAGAAGCTTTTTGCTCTGTCTATAGGGTTTCGAAGATGAAGATTATACCGTGGGATCAAATGGCACTCTTTTAGCATTTACTGTAGCTTTAAGATGTTGTTAAGCAGGCACGCTCACACTGCAGCTTATAGCATACAGATTTGTGTGCTAGCAGGCAGAGCATGAGGTGAATCGTGAACAAAATCACGTCTGTAGGTGCATTTGTAACATCAGAGCCATAACTCCTGAATCCACTGCCACAAGCACGGAGGATCAGGATAACAAAGCAGGGGATTTAACCGCAACACTGCAGACTGGGCTTAGAGAAACACCAGATTGGCGGCGAAAATATGCATGCTAAAAACTGCAGAATATTTCACAAAACAAAGATCAGTTGTACAACAGTATCAGATGCATACTTATTATTTGCATACACTGCCCTCATTATTTCAATATGAGACTGTTTTGTCTTTCTTTTGTCAGAATTTACTCACTCTCACATTGTTACAAACTTGTTAGACTGACTGACTTCTGTGAAACGCTAAATAAGATATTCTGAAGAATGTTTCGTCTGCTTTTGTTCATATAATGAAAGTCAGTGGGGTCCAAAACAAAATTGGACCCAACTGACTTTCATTATATGAAATTAAAAAAAAAAACAAGACATTCTTCAAAATGTCTTATTTGTGTTCAACAGAAAAAAAGTCAAAACAAGTTTTCAATGGCAAGAAGATAAGTAAACAATGCCAAAATGTTCATTTTTGGGTAAACTATCCCTTAAAGGGGTCATATGATGCGATTTCAATTTTTCCTTTCTCTTTGGAATGTTACAAGCTCTTGGTGCATAAAGAAGATCTGTAAAGTTAATGTGTTTTTTGAACTTTAAAATGCATAAACGCATTTCATTACACCAAATACACAAAATAATGTTCTTTTTAGCAGCATCATATGACCCCTTTAAATCCAAACTGATTCAGATGGATGCTCCCTATCCAGAATTTTCAAAGTTCAAGTTGTTCTGAAAGCAGGTTAATATTCTGATTCACCTCTCCATATCCGCACCTTTTTCTCATAATGATTCATTATGTTTGAGTAACTTTGGTATGTTTGGGTACGTTTGGTCCCGCAACCTCTGTGGGCCGGGCAAGCTTGTGCGAGAAGGAGTATGGAGGAATGTAATTTTGTAGAACAAAACTCACTGTTGTTACTGTGTTAGTTTTCTCTCTCTCTCTCTCTTTTTCTTTGGACAGTGTTTCATTCCCTCCCAGGCCTAGGGGGGCAATAACTGAAGCTGCCCTCTGACTGGTCTCGCATTCAGTACCAGTATGTGCGGGGGTGCGGACACTGACCCAGTGGGCCGGTTGCTAAAGGCAGCAGTCAGAGAAATGCACAAATCTCTGTGACTAAGAGAGTCATTCATTCTCCATACCCTCCTAAGCTGCACCGCCACAGATTCAGAGAGCGAGAGAAGAGGGTTATTTATATGTTAATGTTCGCTCTGTTTGACAATGAGACACTCCGCAGCCAGGGTGGTGAGGGAGAGTCCTGGATTTCTATGGCCATTCAGAGTCTCTAGAGGCTGTTAGATTCACAGTTACAAACATGTAGTGAGATCATATGTGGTTTTCAGTTTATGTTGTTCTGATCAGTGAATCATATATATTTTTTCTTTTGTTGCCATAAGGAGAGATATATCTTATTGAAGCTCCAGCTCCATCTTTCTCACGGTTGTCAAGACAATGAGGTTCTGACTCCTCTCACATAGCAAACAGAGCGTATTTATGTACTTGTAACTAAGTATGAATTGTGGATGTTGCTTCCACATTTGTAGTATTGTAACAAGGAGAAAATCTGGTTTAAAAGGATAGTGAGCTCAACAATAAAAAATCTGTCATCATTTACTTACCCACATGTCATTCCAAACCTCTGCTTTCTTCTGCTAAACACAAAAGAAGATATTTTTAAGAATGTTTCAGCTGTTTTTGTCCGTACAATGAAAGGGGTCCAAAACAACGTTAAACCCCTTTGGCTTTCATTGTATGGACCAAAAAAAAGTTTTTTTTTTCAAAATATCTTCCTTTGTGTTTCACAGAAAACGTAAGTCATACACATTTGGAACTAAATGAGTTTGAGTAAATGATGGCAATTTTCATTTTTAGGGTAACTATCCCTATGCAATGCAATATTTGAAAATGGCATCCAAACGTTCTCTTTAACCTCTTTGTTAGTAGTAATGAAGCATTTAATTGAGACTAAAATAGAATAATGGAGATCTATTTTGGTAGATGAAATGCATCTCATTCTATTGTTGCACTAAAGAATATGTCCAATTGATTTTGCTATTATCCATGTTGAGGCGAGGAAGATGACTCAGCTTTACAGAATCTACTAATATTGGTCCCCAAGTCTGTGTTTTTCCCCTGAAGTCTTTGTGCAACATATTTTAGTTTTATTGGAACAAATAAAAAGGATGAGAATAGTTCAGTGAGCAGTGTCATGGGGCATGCTGTCCTGAGAAATCCTTATTTTACGTGGTGGGCGAGGCAGATCAAAAGAACTTCCTGCCGTATTTAGGGCAAGAAAAACTGCTACTAGTGTGTTGATAACAGAATATTGTTGTTTTGCTCGTTGGAAGAAGGAACAAAGTTCGAGGCTATATGTATGAGATCTATCTGGATGGCCATTATAGGAGTATTATTATCAGCTCTTTCCTACAGTTTTCTCGGTGCATTATAAATGCACAAAATTCTACTTGTTTGCTTTGGTCATTTAAATGGTGCAGTGTAATGAAGTATTTTGAGTTTCAGTTTCTCTGTATCTTGAATTTTAGATTAAAATCATTGTAGTATTTGCATAATGCGCTGCAATTGTTCTTTTTTTTCTGACTTAATTGCATACTGAATTGTGATTGTCAACTTGAGACCATCATCTGATGTTGCGTTTTGGATTTTCCTCCTTAAATATGTTTTTAGAAAGCCACTATTTCCAAAAATCATGACGCTTATGCATTTGTTGTTTTGGGGTGAATTTTAGAGAAGTGAAAAACTGCAAAATTGCAGTGCTGGGCTTTTAGGGTTACAAACTTTCACCATGTTATTGTCTATACAGGAATATGCATTATGATTTAACTGTCTTGAAGCTTCCCTAGCAAGTTAGAAGGCTGAAATTCTGATATGTTCATCTCTGAGCTTCCCTCTGTCGTTCTATAAAGTATCAGGATTCTGTAATATTCCCGCACCTCAGAGACTCCCCTGTAAAGTAACTCCTAATATAGTTATAGGCCTGGCATGCAGTTGCTTTGACCTCTACAATAAGCTTTTTCAGTGAGCTAGAAGACAGAAACTTTAGTCCGTTCATCTCAGAGCAACCATCTTGCACTCTATAAAGTTAATCTGGCTATGATTTACTGAATCGGCTCAGTTGTGTGCATAACATAAAAATGGTTGATTGTTAAGTATGCATTTCTGCAAAATTAGATTCTGCAGACTGTCTCGTATTTTACACGTTTTATGCAATGTTGCAATATTCCTACCACTAAATATCTTAAGAATTGGGGGGTAAACTACAGATCAAATACCTGAATATTGCAACATTTGATCTAAAACAGTCAGAAGTGGTGTCAGTTGGCAGTGACCATATTGTGTGACTTTGGCATGCTGGGAGATTGAAATTGCAAATATTTCCTTGCCAGACTTGTTGCTATGATACATTTCACAGTGTGAGCTGATGTTATGTAGCTTCAACCCATATTAAGTGGAAAAATAAGCATTATTTCATTGATTTAAACAGCGGGTCCCAGAAGATAGTTAAATAAACTATAGCATTTTCACACTGCATCCAAATTTCATTTACTCTGAAACAAAGCTTAAATCCTAAGTTTATTTAAAATTATTTTGCTGCATTGCATCATTCAGAAAATGTTACAGTATTTCACTGCTTTCTCATGACATTCTATTCTTTTGATTAAGTTATTTAAAATAAAACTACGGTAAGAAATGGCATTCAACACAATGCTTTTGCTCAGAAAAATAAGTTGAGTTGTACATCCAGTTGCCATACTTCCCCCATTCCACATTCCCCCATTCCCCATTCCACTGTTCTGCAGCAGTGAGGGTTTCCTGTTCTTTCTCATGGATGTAACAGGTGAAATGTCTTACTTCAGTGTTACACAATGAGTGAAATATAATAGTGCTGCCATATTTTTATATTTCTGTTCTGTATATTATCAGGATCAGTGCTATATTGACTCATTGGCACCTTTGCATTAAAGTAATAGTTTTTTTTTCTTCTTTTCTTTTCTTTTCTGGTCACCCTTATATACAAAGCCTATTTGGCTTTTTCCTCGGTGGAACAATATAATTGCCAGTAAATTACTT